GCTGCTCAGTTTGAATCAAAACATTTATATTAATTTTCATTAATTTATACTTAAAATGTATGTTAAATGTATTTATTTATAGTTGATATTATTTAAAATGTATATTAAAAAAGACTTTTATTTTTCATTTTTTAATTTAAAATAAAATTTGAATTTCCCAAATTACATTTGAACTATATATTAGGTTAGAATTAATTTATATTTAAATTTCATACGAATAATTACAAATGATTGAAAAAAAAAATTGATTAAAAATTAAAAAGGCCTGGAAGCAGCACTCAAATATATTAATTTAAATTTAATATGAATAATTAAAATTAAAAATACAAAATTATATTAATTAATAATTACTTAACATTTCTGATTATTATCAGTGTTGAAAACATTAATATTTCTGTGGAAACTGTGATGCATTTTATTTTTCAGGATTCACAGATGAATAGAAAGTTCAAAAGAACAGCATTTATTTGAAATAGAAATATTTTGTAACTTTATAAATGTCACTTTTTATCAATTTAATGCATCTTTGCTGAATAAATTTTTTTTTGTATATATATATATATATATATATTCACACACGCAGTAATGATGCTGAAAATACAGCTTTGATCACAGAAATAAATTACAGTTTAACAGATATTCACATAGAAAGCAGCTGTTTTAAATTATAATAATATTTCACTATTTTTACTGTACTTTTGGTCAAATAAATGCAGCTTCGGTGCGCAGAAGAATTTCACTCTAAATATTTATTCAAAATCAGACTTAGGTTAACCTTTTTCTTCAAGATGCTTTTATCTTCAGACTGAAGTAGAAGGACACTATTTTCCGTCCTATAATCATATAACGGGGTGGTTTCTGTCCCGCTTGACTTTCTCTCGTCACAGTCGTGAATGCAGCAAACGCAATTAGCGTGTTTCTCGCAAGACGTCATCTTTAGCTGATGTGACTGAAGTCTGGTTTAATTCCTGCCATCCTTCAGTCTTTCTGACAGAGTAACCGTCTCTGCGAGCGACCCGCAACAACAGGAGGGATGTTTCCATCCGCGGGGGGGACGAGACGTGCTCTTACTGTACGCAGAGCACTTAATTCAGTTAATGAGGCTGTAAAAACAAACATGAGACTTCATTAGCAAAAAAGTACGGATTGCACCGCTTTTGCTCTTCACAGATGAATATTCTGGTGATACATCCTCAAATGCATCTGCAGAAACACAATCAGATTAGGTTTGTAAATGCAGTCGAATCTCGTGGCTTTCGGGTCAGAAGATGATGTTTAGTGTGAGCATCGAGTCGATTTCTGAAGCCTCAATGATGCACAGATACTGTCTCTCGTGCTTTTAGACGCCGGTTTGAATCATTGAGAGGAACTTCATACAAAAACACTGAGTACTGAGTGACTGATTCATGCATGACAATGAATTAAGATGCATTATTTCAAAAAATATACTTTGTATCCATTCATCTGTTTAAAAAAAACTCAGTATTTTGTCTTGTTTTCCCATTACAATATCTAAAAATGTGGTAACACTTTATTAGAATCCTTTATGTATTTATTGTAATGCATTATATATTTTCATAAATATTTGTAACCACAGAGAGAGAGAGAGGCTTGAAATTAGCAGCGTCTCATAACGAATGCGGCGTGAGTCACCGAGCCAGACGGGACGTGATCTATCCGTGGAGCGGCGTGTGTGTGATTACGTGTCAGATTTAAGAGGAAAACAATATCCATTCAAGAGCGGCGTCTCCATTAGTCTGATTCCTGAGGTGCTGTCAGTCCCAGAGTCCTCGTCTCAAATCAAATGAGAGGCGATCAATGCAGCATTAAAGAGAGAGAGAGACGCTCCAAATACGGGAAAAGCATCCTAATGACTTCCACTGCTAGAGGAAAAATGCTTTAATTAAAATAGATTTGCCTGTTTTGATATAAAAATTCATTCCCAGAGCTCCTGTCTTTCCTGCATTAGCATCAGCCAGCTGTTATCGAGCGCCGGTCGCTTTTACGAGGGCTGATTCTGCTGGTTTTATTCTCTAATAAAGTGCGGTAGCGATCGCACACCATCTCGGCCCATTATTCCCTCCATCGAGATTTCAAACAATCCTCAATAAAGAGCTCTAACCAGCCAAACCCAGCAGAAGCAGATTACAGCATTTCATTCAGCAGGTGAATGAACGATGAAGCCATGCAACCAAAACCACCTACACCTCAATCACTATGAGCATAAAAACCATGAATTGTGATGTTTAATTGCAAAATATTCAGATATACACAGACATAAAAGCAGTTTGAGAGCGATCTGCAGTGGTGCTTCTGAATTTCCACAGCGTATTTCAGGATTATGGGGAGATATATGTGTCCCTGCAGCACAAAAGCAGTGTTGAGTCGCTGGGGGATATTTGTAGCAATAGCCAACAATACATTGTATGGGTCACAATTATACATTTCTCTTTTATGCCAAAAATCATTAGGATATTAAGTAAAGATCATGTTCCATGAAGATATTTTGTACATTTCCTACCGTAAATATATCAAAACTTAATTTTTGATTAGTAATATGCATTGCTAAGAACAACTTTAAAGATGATTTTCTCAATATTTAGATTTTTTTGCACCCTCAGATTCCAGATTTTCAAATAGTTGCATCTCGACCAAATATTGTCCGATCCTAACAAACCACACATCAATGGAAAGCTTAATTATTCAGCTTTCAGCTGATGTATAAATCTCAATTTCAAACAGTTGACCCTTATGACTGGTTTTGTGCTCCAGGGTCACAAATAGCAAATATCATCAGTGACCTCAGCCTAGAAATGTAAAAGAATGGCATTTTTACTTCTAGAACCTAACAGTGCTCAAATATATTCAATGACATCCATTAAAAACCAATACAACTTGATCTTCCAGAAATCGTGCAGATTTAGAGCTTCAAATCATCAGATGAACGCAATCTATTTCTAAAGCTAAACGGCCTGTTAAACAGATAGACGTCGGGTAAACACTTGTTAAATCAGCCAGAATCCCTCTAAAACATGAAATCATCAGGTAAAACCCCATTAAATCTGGCTCTTCAGACACAGAACCCTGCGGTGGATCTGCTGTCAATGTGTGCTGTGAGATAACTGTGTTCCTGTAGGCTTATAAAGGTAAATTAAGACATTTCAGACCTTTTTAAGAAGATTGAAGGAAACACAATACGTCAATATGCTTTCTCAAGGTAAATGTCTAGAGAGCAGACAATGAGTTGTATTGACAACACTCTAAAGTTTGAAAATGCAACTTACAACAGATCTCCGTCACTTTTGAATTCATTTTACAAAAACAAAAGTAATGCTAAAAGCTTGAATATCTCTGATTCAATCTACTAGACTAACTTTTAACGTAACGTCAGACGCAAAAACGTGATGCTGTTCAGTATTTTTTCTTGTTTTAAACATTTCCAGAGAAACTGAACAAAACGAAGTGAGATTAAAACAATGGGGTCAGAAAATAAACTTAATTTTTATACCCCGTTGACAGATATTTTTCATGTTTTAAGCATAAAGTCCCTTAATTTTTGTTCAAAACATCCCATCTTCATTTTGCATTTTCGTTTCTTGATTTAAGGATGTTTAGATATTTGCACCTTTTTTTGTAGCGTATGCATTACATTTAATGAATTTAAGATGTTCTGGTCTGATTTAAAACCTTTTTAAGGTCTTTGTTTGTGGGTGAATTGAGACTTTAAGGGTTTTTTAAGACTTAGAGGAACCCTGGATGACTTTAAGGCTGTAGATTTAAATCCCAGACGTGTTGCTTCATAAACCTCAGACGAACACTGAAGAAGACTGTCCTGAACGTGACCCTGCTGAAATAAACCACTTAAACCAGCCTGATGTGATTAAGCAGACCGGTCTGTTCTGATGGTTTTAGAGGGGTTTTTGACACGGTCAGACTGAGAGATCCGGTGTAAAATGAAGAATAACTGACCCAGAGTTGCTTTTGTAATTCACAAGGCCATTGAGAAAACAAGATTATTTTCATTATTCTTGTTTTAAGCAAAAACTCACTTAATTCTGATACATTTATCAGACAATAAGACTTGATTTCTCAAGTCATTTTGCTTCAAGTAAATGTATCTTGAGTTAATTCTCATAATGCATTCATGTCCGTTTTGATCCAGAAGAGATTCATAAAAAATAAAAATAAAAAGCATAGTTTTTAGTAAGGGAACGAAACTTTGCAAATGCATTAAGAACATCGTTTTATTTTCTACAGATTTTTTAACAATTATTTTTTAAGAGATATAACTATTTTTAAAAAGTTGCACATTTTGGATGTATTATTCTAAGATCACAAAGCCATTGTAATAAATGTTGTGATAAAATGTAATCAAATAAACTTAATTCACAGAGAAAGTACGATTATTTTCTCGAACCCCATTGGCAGATATTTTATTATTCTCGTTTTGAGAATAATAAAAAATTATTTTTTTCATCATTTTTGGGTCACGCTTGGTACCTTCGTGGTCAAAAGTGACCGAAGACTTGAAATGTTAATGGGTTTTTTTGTTTTGTTTTTTCTTCAGGAAAATCAATATAATACACTTGCTTAATAATATTTTTTGATTATTATTTAGATTTTCGAAGGGATTTTATAATACTATGCAATATTTATACAAATTTTTATGAGCATTTTTTCCCACAGTCATTTTTGAGCACGAAGCTACCAAGAGATGCTTTTTTTTTTACTTTTCGTCCCTTTAACATATCCGAATCATGTCCGTGATTTTTTTGTGTGTTCACAAACCCAATGTGACAAAATGCACCAAATGTCATCCCACTCTGATAAAGCAACAATTAAAAAAAATTCAAAAGGTAAAATTTTTCGGTCAGTTTCGACCAAAGTGGCCCATTGAGGAGACCATTGAGAAGCTTGACCTCCATCAACACAGATGAATCAAGCAATCAAGTATGAAACACCACTAATGGATCAGTAATTGATCAGTGGGATGGTCTCACCCGGCGGCACCCACGGATCCTGCGAAGACTTTTCACTGGTGTCAATCTGTTCCCAGTTCAGGTCATCGTCTCGCCCTTGGGTGTATCCACACGACGAGAAGGGCTTCTCGAAGTCACAATCTCCTGCAACAAAAGGACAGACATTTATATTATCAGCGTGTTTCCCATTACCATGCTTGGAAATGAACGAACGCATCTACTCCTTGCCCTCCTCCTCGTCATAATGCAATATGCCAAACAACAGGAGCGCTTAAACCGAGGTGGAGAGGGATTCGAAGTGAATGCACGGCACAACATACATAACCATCATTAGCCGTGCCTCGTGCCAATTTCACAATGACAGAAATGAAGAGTCCAAACTCTATCATCGTTAAACGCTGGGCTGCCACCACGCCAGCGAGCATAAATGTGATTCATTTCACAGCGGCGTGCGACCAGACTTCCCCTTCACATCATCCGCCGTCAGCTCTCATTCATCCTAATTCTCCTCGCGGGACACACACTTATAATGCACTTTTAATTCCTGCAATAAACAGAGGAGGTGTCTTTATGAACCCATTAAAAGTCAGCCATTTAAAGGTTTCTGAGGCTCTTCGACTGTCAAACATTGATATTTTTGGTTGCACATCCCAACCAGACGGACTCAACCGTGAGTTCTGTGAGAGTTTGTTGTAGGACTATCTGATGAACACTGCAAAAATTTTTTACAAATACATTTTAAGATATATATCCTTTAAAAATTGTATATGTTTAGTGTTCGGGTCATTTTGAACCCGAGTATGTATGGAGTACAATTGGTGTCAAAATAGTTTTGTAAAATTATAAACGGAGTTATATAGTGTCAAAAACTTTGTAAATTATATTTAGCCTTTTTCCCATTTCTCACACAGTTTTAGATTGAATTTTGTTGATGAACATGAATATGTATGCCTACTGACCACTGCAGCATGAACAAATTATAACTTTTTTTCATTTGCAAGTAAAATGTTTGTTTATTTTTATTCAGACTAATATTTATGCTGTTTTGTTAAAAATAAATATGTAGGTTTCAAAAATGTGGACTGTTTTTGTTCTTATAAATTTAAATCAAATTTCTCATATATATATATACAGTGGGTACGGAAAGTATTCAGACCCCCTTAAATTTTTCACTCTTTGTTATATTGCAGCCATTTGCTAAAATCATTTAAGTTAATTTTTTTTCCTCATTAATGTACACACAGCACCCCATATTGACAGAAAAACACAGAATTGTTGACATTTATGCAGATTTATTAAAAAAGAAAATCTGAAATATCACATGGTCCTAAGTATTCAGACCCTTTGCTCAGTATTTAGTAGAAACACCCTTTTGATCTAATACAGCCATGAGTCTTTTGGGGAAAGATGCAACAAGTTTTTCACACCTGAATTTGGGGATCCTCTGCGTTCTTATAAGTCTAAATCAATTCTCTAATATATATATATACAGTGGGTACGGAAAGTATTCAGACCCCCTTAAATTTTTCACTCTTTGTTATATTGCAGCCATTTGCTAAAATCATTTAAGTTAATTTTTTTTCCTCATTAATGTACACACAGCACCCCATATTGACAGAAAAACACAGAATTGTTGACATTTTTGCAGATTTATTAAAAAAGAAAAACTGAAATATCACATCGACTTTGGCTAGTATATGAAACTGTGTCAGTCACCAGATGGCCGGTAACATTTTTATAACAGTGCAATGTTGTGAGAACATAAACATGCACAAATGTGAACGACGCTCCGTAAAGTTGACGGGTGACGGCGCAACACGACAAATCGCCAAAAGTAAACGGATTCCCCGTTCCATTTCTGAAATAGTCCCAGCACTTCGCAACGGCCGCTTTGTCGCATCTTCAAGCTGCTGCGGTGTAGACACGGTGTTAAAGTGACAGACACAGAACTCCAATAATCCTGCTGTTGTCTTTGTTTTTAATGTTGATCAAAGAAAACAGAACAAAGAAAAAACCAATCACTCACTGCTCTTGAACTTTGAAAAAGATATAAAGACTAGTGTTATTTGATTAGCATAATTTATTAAATTTCTGTAGGCTACCTGAAAATCACCGTTAGACCTGCCCTGAAATGCTCCGTTTCCATTTGTATCTTTGTTGGATAGTAGGCTATTTTGTGCTATTGCTTGTAATTTGATTTGCTCTTATTTTACAACTGTTGGAAGGCCGGCGTTGTCATCCCATAGACTTCAGCATTTGTACTTATTTATATATAAAATAATTGTAGGTTTACTTCCTTCTGTCACGAATCCGGTCCATGAACTTCCGTCTGCTAGCCATCAGAGGTCACCCTTTCCATTTTCATTGACTAGCGCACTACACACTGTTGTATATCACCCCGGACTACATATCCCGTCATTCATTGCACTGATTGCACACAGCACTGATTGCACACAGCTGTTTCACTGATTGCACACAGCACTGATTGCACATAGCTGTTTCATATCACTCACTCACTATTTAACACTCACTCTGATCCCTTCCCTCTGCCGAGTATTGTATAGCGTTTATCACTCTCATAGCGATAGCTACTCTACGGAGCCTGTCTAGTTTGTCCATAGCTTTATCTTAGTCTTGCCTTGTCTGTTTTCTCGTGTCCTGATCTTTGCCTGTTTTCCTGGATTTATCCCTCTCGTCTCGCCCCTGTGATTCTGTCTGCCGATCGTTGACCTACGCTAGCCCTAGGACTATTCTTGTGTTTTGCCCGCCATATACCTGTTTGCCATTGTTCGACCCTGCCTGTTACGACCACGTCTCTTAAATAAAAGCTTGCAGATGGATCCACACGTCTCACATCTCGTCAGCCCCGTTACACCTTCATATTTACAGCAGAATATATTTCAAAAAGGTGTAAAGAATTATGGGCTTCGCTCACAAGACTGTTATCTTTTAAGCATCCCTAAAATTCGTACAAACTTTAAGTTCGTACAAACAGCATAACTAAACGGGCATTTAGTTATGCTACTCCATTTGATTGGAATCAACTATTTAAAAGAGTTGGTATCACTAAATGATTTTAAATGTATTTTAAAGGATCTATTTGTAGAGTCACCTGATTGTAAATGTTTTGAGTGACGTAAACGAATGTATTTTGTTTTATGTGTAACTAAATGTGCTGCCTATCTTGGCCAGGACCCTCTTGTAAATGAGAGCTTAAATCTCAAGAGTTTTTCATTTCCTGGTTAAATAAAGGTAAACTAAACTAAACTAACTGAATATTTACTAGTCTTTAAAAATTATTTTGAACGCATTATGAAGGATTTATAAACGTCATGGTAAACTGGAGCTCGGACTGCTGCAGAACTACGATCAGCGTCCGAGTGAAATTAATGTCCAAGGCTGTAATTATGGGTAAACAAAAACGAACAGGTGCGAGAAAACGATTATTGGCACATTTTTAGCCCCGTCGCTTAGGGGCGCTGCGCTGTGATTTATTCTGCGTGCGCTGAGTGCATCTGAACGACCCGACGCAAAACCAAAAGTTATGTGCTCTCCAGAGGAAAAGGAAACTAATGGTGAAATAAATGAATATTTCAGGACGCGGTGCTGCAGCGCTCACAAACTCACTGTAAATCAACACAGGAGCTGCTACACACACACACACACACAGATCAGCAATCAAACACACTCATTTAACACACACACACACCTTCCTCTGTGCACAATAATGCTTGCATAAACAGGAAAAACAGAAAAACACCTTTTACACGCCAGATCTGATCAATCACACTTGAAGCATGATGACTGTGTGTGTGCGTGTGTGTGTGTGTGTGTGTGTGTGTGTGTGTGTGCATGTGTGTGTGCGT